TAATGCATCCTAAATAGCTTTTTGGCTTGGCACCATAAATTATAACTAGTTTAATCTAAACTACTATGCTGTAATACCATATAAAAATATACATTTTGTAGTACAGATTCACTTCTGTGAAATTCTAACGTTATGGAAAACAATACGTCATTGTAGCATGTTTTTTTTTTACCACTTTCAGTTATGAAGTGAGGTGCACTAAGTGCAAATGTACAGAAAGAGAACTAGGTGGAGCATGAATATGTATATTGTAATAACAGCACATAGAAATGTGATATATCCTGGGTAAATTAATTAATTCTCTACCAGCAATGGTTTTAATTTAGAAATGGTTCTGGAAATCTATTGTAAAATGTACATCAAGTGAATTGTATAAACATATATTATGACTAGAAAGTTTTTTCCACTATGGTTTAGTTCAAATTTAATCTAGTTCTAATTGTAGTTTTGTTTTTAAAATCATCCATGCAACTTGCTCCACATATTATGAAAAAAAAAAAAATTAAAGATTAAAAATGAAGTTAGTCTGTATGTTGATTTCTGCCGGTTCTCATAATAAAGGCAACTGTTTCCACATTATTGAAAGTGACAGCATCACAAATCAATGCATGTCACAACAGAATAAAGACAGATGTATTTGATTAATCAGAATTAAATTTTAGAAGTGAAGGAAGCATCTAAAAATCAAAGCAAACATTTCTGCTATCCCGGTTGTTTTTTCATCTTTCATACAATGCAGTAAGAGAAAAACAAAGCCTGAATTCAGTTGATAAAACCCCAATTTCTGTTATAAACTTCTCACTGCAGTAGTGGATACCATATAGACATGTGCACACTTCATATAACCCCTGACTTAGGTTGATATTAGGTTTATGCAAACTTTCTGATTACAGGTTTTAATGCAAATTTTGTGTACCAAACAACACTTGCTACTAAATTCTAAGTAAATAAACCAGCTCAGTATAACACTTCTACTAAAAAACTCTGACTCACAGTTATTTGTCTAATTAATGCAGTATCTCTCATTCTGCGGGTAGTTTTCTGTTCATGTTCATCTAAGCTCTAAAAGAGATAATAATTGGTATTCATTTATTTTGGACTCTATGATATGCAGCTCCTCCGTTTTCCATCAATAGCTTACCAACAGAATTTACAAAGAATACATTGCAGCACAGAGTTATCTGAATAAGACAGAAATAGTATTTGAACCAACAGCAATGAGCCTGCAGTCAAAAACGGAAGACATGAGTGTAGGAAAAGGTGTGTGAAGGGGCATTTTTATCCTGCAACTGTTTGTCTTTCCTAGTGCTAGTTGTTTTAAGAGCAGTTATTCTAATTTCTGGAAGACATCAAACCTACTTGTTACTAAAGCAGTTGTGCAAAGATGTTTACTTTGGTAAACAAAATTCCACAAGTCACTATCCCCCTCAGAGATACCTACAGACACATACCGGTACAGTGCTCTATAATTAATATTTGCATTACACTATAATATCTAGTCTCTTCTAAAATATTTAGAGTGCAGTTTACTTAAATGTATAAATACTCTGAATGAATTTCAGCTATTTCTCATGTTAGATTTTTCTTATGTTTCAACAATAGTACAGTAGTATACAAGAACAAACTTTTGCTGAATCACTCACAGTTGAAATCCTCACCCTACAAACAGAAAATGCTACACAGGTTGTCATGAAGGCAATTATGCAGCTAAGTATGTGGGTGTTTGAAAGGGGAGTGAGCATGGCACGGAACAGTTTGTGCCACGATAACTCCCTCTGTGGCAACATGTGATGCTTTCAAGGTGAGGCCAAGACAGATGAGGATTGGGAAGACTGGAGGAGTAAATTACGGTTCAGGGATTAGAATTGCAGCATTGCTACCCAACAGTTCACCTATGCAATGAAGTATGGCCTCTCACAGACAGATCCCTAGCCTAGCGTTTTAGAAGAGTTTTGGTAGTGAAAGAAGGAAAAGGAGAAAGAGTTCATATGAAATGAATCCTCTGTTTTATGAGAATCACAGCTCTCCAGCCTGAGTCCTTTTAATCTCTGTCCTTGGATCTCCTTCTTCCAAGATTTATCCTGCTTTTCTCTCTGATCTTACTCCATTGCAGAATAGTTAATGCACAGAAATCAGTGATTAGGCTGTATGCTTTTCACTAGCTACAAGTCACTCAAATTTAGCCTGCATCAGTCACTTTTGCTGACGTACCAAAGGATGTCCATGGTCAATGGGGGAGACACCCTACCAGTGACCGAACACAGTGGTGAATTCAGTAACTGGCTCTGGAAAAGGAAGCATTTCTCCTGCTGCTAAGCTCCTCATTGCCACACAGGTAGTTTATGCTTGGCCTTTAACTATTGCAAATAAGAAGGAAGCCCACAAGTTAAACCTAACCAGGAGAGAGAAAATGAGGAGTCAAGAGGGATGAACACAGAATCCTGCTTGTATCATGTACAATCAAGGCTGAAGTGAAAGAGCTGCAGCTGCCAAAAACTGTGTTTAGCTAGCTGCCTTCGTTCCAGAAGCTGTTCCACTCTTGGGAACTGTACTGCTGGGGAGCAGCTCAGCCTCCTCTCATTGACTCCGCAGTCTTAGATCAGGAAATTGCTGTTCCTGGTCCTGCTACGCAGTTAGCTGTGACTAGCTGGGCAGGATATTTCAGTCTGAAATCTCTACTTCCATAGGTATGGCAGCCCAAAAGAGCATTCTGCTATCTGCTGAACACTGTACAAGATTTATGTCTACATAATCAGAAGTTAAAAAAAAACCCAAAACACACATTATGCCAACCTATATTATTCCAAACTCTCTACCAACTTCTTGTTCTAGCATTAAGTCAACCAGAGCAGTCTTTGTGTAGTACTCTGTTCACATAAGAACTGCTGTACCTCATAGAGCTTATCTTCCCACTTGAAATATTTATTTTTGTAGCATTAATTACCATGCTATTATAAATAAAAGCAATTTTCTTTCTGCAGCACCTCGCAGCAAAGCATCTCAAATCATGTCACAAATACTAAGGCTTAACATCTGTAGGAAGTGTACTACTGGGAAGTGTACAATAGTAGAAAAAATAGGTGGCACTTGGGTTGCACACAGTCCTACTGCACACAGCAATATATGATTCAAGAGTTTAGGCACCACAGAAAGACTACTGCCTCCTATTGAACTGTAGAGGAAAGCTTAGCTAGAAATAAAGATCACTGAACTAGAATTCATCCAAAGCACTTGTCTGAACATTTTATCTTTAAAATAAATATTATCTGCAATATTTTGCATCTTATTGCAACAAATTTTTTAAAAATGTATTTTATAACCACTTGATTTATGTGCTTTTAGCAATCCTCTCACTTGAAAGATCTCCAAGTCACACCTCCAGTGCATGGCATCCAGTGGAACACTTTGCAGTTGTCATTTGAAGAATGATTCAGAGTCTGCTGCTTAGTGGAGTACCAACATCACTTCCTACAACATGCATGTCTTTCTTCCTGAACTCCCACCCAAGCTGGAACTCAGCCAGTATCTGTTTAGCTCTTGAGATACACAGTAATCAATGTGCAGTCTGGCAGGACTGCAAGCATACCAGCAATAAAACCAGTAAATAAATACATCTCAGTACATGTTATGAGTTGCCTTTAGCCTAGGCACAGAATAATTACAGCTGACAGTATGTTATACACATAAGTCGGTTGTAAACATATGTGAAGGACATTTCTGTCCTAAAAAGTGTTTTAATCAGAAACCTTGTGAAGTAGATTGGAATCTCCACTGCAATCCAGGGGAAGACTTACTTCCTTAGGACTGCTTCAGGTGTAAGTGATAGCAGAAGCTAGTCTGACATATTTTACAGTATGCTGTAATAATACCACGCTTTGTCCTCAGACCTTCCCCATATTAGAGGGCCACCCTCTACAGTTAACTCACTTATGGTACTTGCCCATGTAGAGGTGGAAGAGTAACAAACCCACCTTTTCTCTTTTGCTAAGGTCTCTGTCCATCAGTACACTTTTACATTCCATCTCTGAACCAAGAATAAAAGCTCCTTGTTTCCAAATTCATCTCAAAAGCTCTCTTCAGCCCATACTACTGTTTGTCACTGGTTGACAACACATTACCATTATTCACACTGTTACTCAGGCCTCATCCATAGATTTATGTTTGATCCTCTTCCTCTGTCTGCAAAACAAACTATATCTACATCTCAACCCAAATCCTGTTTCTTTTCTCTGCAATACCTTTATCAAAACTATGGTTTGCTTTCACTGCCTAAACTTCTTGCTCAGTCTCTTTTTACCATTTTGAATGTAGTAACAGGAAACCACCCTGAATGCAATTTTCAGGTCAAACAAGCAACTACACACTTTAAATCTACACAAAATGTTTTATTCTAGGTGCCACATTGAGCCATAGTCTTCAAGACTTACTTCTAACTCTTTCCTCTTCCAACACATGTTATTGAAGGTCGATGTTGCTGTACTATAACCTTCAGCACAAGTACTCTTCCATCCATAGGCTGTTTTACGTTGCCTCCATCTTTCTCTTCCACCACCCATCCAGCCTCAAGCTTACACCCACATTATCACACTGTAACTGCAACTCAATTTCAATGGCTTATCTTGCCAGTCCTTCCACAGAGGCTGCCTTTCATGAGTTGCTTGATAAAGCTGTTACTCATTCCCTTTGCATTCTGACCCCTCACAGAAAACATTTTCCCTGCAAAATTTTTTAAAAAGGACTATTGCCCTTACTAGTTGGCTAATATGAAAAGATTGGGTAATAAAAGGGAAGAATGTAACAGCAAACAAAACTAGAAATTGTGTCACCTTTACACTGCACTGTTGGAACCTCCTGAACTAGTTGACCTACACAGTGTATCATATCCTCCCTGCTATCTTTATGCTAGCTAGATTTAATAGTGCCATTCCCAAAAGACTCAGATTTTTCAAATATACAAAGAAATGGTTACGTGCTAAATACACCCTAAAATATTTCCTTACCTTATCCAGGGAGAATGTTTTAGTGACAGCAAAGCCCCATCCAGCTTCAAAAGCTCTTCGAATCATTGAAGAACTAGTAGCAGGGGTTGCACTGGCAAGGCCAAAAGGATTTGGAAACTTGAGTCCAGCCATTTCTACACTGATGTCTACTAAATCAATAGGAGTAAAGAAGAGTGGTAGTTCTGGAACAGTGGAAACTGCAACACCATGTAAGGACTGCAAAAAACAAACAAAAATAACAAATTTTTGATGATTCATTTTTATATTGTTTCTTATTAACTCTGATAAGGGAATAATTCATATATAATAAGCCAAAATTTAAGTATTCTATTATGTGTTCAGATTTGCAAATCACAAAACACGCAAACACTTGCATATGTAATGTTTTCTGTCCAAATAGCATTCACATTGAAATATGCCATGCTGGAAAATAACTGAAGAACAATAATGAAACAGTGACTTCATATCCTGTACTGCTAGCCTGGTTCAGTCCAAAGTTTTATTCAGCCATAATGAACAGCCAGTTCTGTTCCCTACAGCTGCCAGCAGCAGTAAGATAGAAAAAAAAACCAAACAAACAAACACCAAGGTCAGCACAGACAGACCCTTTCTTGTTTTCTTCCTAGGTGCCAATCTATAAAAAGTGTAGGGACTTGTGAAAAATGAGGGAAGGCATCCATGTGCAGGATCACTCAATGCATAACTGAACTCCTGCACCTTTATTCCCCACTTTTAAAGATTTTATCTAGCCTGCAGAATAGGATAAGTATCAATATATGCAAACTATTATTGTTTAAATATTTAATTGTATTAATATGAATACTTCAAGAGTGACAAAAATTAGACTCTGATTTGGGATTAAAGAAGAACATACACATTATGGCTGTGACACCACAGTCACTTTTGTTTTCATTTTAAAGACAGTCTTTTCTCTGGAGAGTCAGTGAAAAGCTTTCAATGTAAATGTATCTAACTGTAGAGAGAAAATCTTTTTCCATGTATGGATACTGAACAGCATCCTAATCAGGCTGTGGTAGGTAGAATTAAAATCTTTGCTCACTCCAAATGTTGACGCAATAAAATCACAAAGAAATAGATCATGAATTTCTAACATAGAGAAGCCCTACACAGTCTATGTTCCTAATAAGTTTCAGCATAAGATCACAGCAGCTTCTTCTATCCTTAAAATGAAGATTTCTTTAGCAGGACAAAGAAATAATACTACTGGAGGTGTGGGGATGATTTTCTGTAACAGAGTAAAAACCACAGCTACTTAAAAATTGCTGCATTTTGGGTTGCTTTTTTTTAAAGGAATTGATTTACTCAATTTTTACCTGTGAAAACTAATAAGCATGGAAGAGATGAGGGGTTTTTTTGTTTGTTTTAGTGCCTTTGTTTCCTAGGCTGGTTCAAAACCTGGGAGTTTACAGTCTGTTTCGTTTTGGGACTGCCTGGATTCATGTCTCAGGTTCTAACCCTAAATCTTCAACTCCTATCCGACAGAGAGGATACATTTGAGGGTCACATTTTCTGATGGCTTAAAAGCATTGAAAGTAGTGGAATTGTCCTAGCGTGACTGATGTGAAATTGAATTTGGCCCTAATGGTGAGAAAATCTAATTTTTAAAGATCCCTAACATGTGGGATCAAACTCCCTTCAATACCATGACTTCTCCCAGCTAGCAGCCAATGCAGCCATACTTTATAAAAAGCCAGACATCTTCCATTTCCTTCCTCATGAGTGCTCACTGCTTCCTGCATGTCATACTCCATGGGGCTTTTTTTCCTACACCAGAAGAATCTGAGTTCTTAGAAGAACAAACAGTCCAGCACTCTACATCTCAAAAGCTTTTGTTAACTGACAAATAAAAAAAAAAAGAAAAGAATATAAAAGAAAAAAAAGTAATGCCTTTTGATTATTTTGGGTTCGATTTCAACCTTTTAACTTCTTTTAGTCTTCTTTAACTAAAATTTCAACTTCAAAATGTTGTTAGCAATGCCAAAACAAAACCTCCTGGATCAAAGGATTGAAATTAAAACACTTTTTAAATGTTAGCACTTTTTGTCTCCCACATATTTGGAAGTGAGGAAATCTGCTGAAACCAACAATGATACACTGAATTCTTGCACTGAACTCTTTGATTTTGAAAGAATGACAGCAAAGAAAGGTGTGATAATTTCACTGGGCTAGCCCTACGTTCTCCTACAAATGGACCTTGAGACACCTACTTCCCCCCCACCCCCCATGTCTAGCTCTGCAGGAAAGGCTCATCTTATGCCTTTGCAGAACAGTACCCGCCTCTGCTGGCACCCAATGTGGAGCTTAAACACTAGCAGACTGCCCCAAAAGGTTTATGGAAAGCTTTTTGGCCAATACCACTCTATGTGCACAGGTGACTAATAAAACCTGATTTTCCATTTTAAAAGCAGTTATTTGTTAATTATTTTGCTATCCAGAATTGCTAAAATGTTCTCTGTGAATTTATTTCACTCTGTGGATCACTCATGAACTATTAATTGCTTGTATAACTGTAAATATTGATTGCTATAGACAGATTACGTGCTTAATATGCAGCTGAAATTACATGGTACTGTTTCTTTTCCCAAGCAGGAAAATTTTATCTCCAAAAATTGTTCTCACCTAAAATGAGTGTTGCTTGAAAGTGATTCTTAACTAGAGACACAAAATGAGCTTTCTGAGATAAAAGAGAAAATAAATCCTATACAAGACAAAAACCCCAAAATTAATCAGAGCAAAGAAAGACTTTTGAACCAGGTAGTTGAATACACTCATGCAAAAATAGGCCTGGCCTCCTGCATGCTATCAGGCAAACTGGTCATAAGCAACTTCCCAAACCATATGCAGACAGGCCTATTATTTCTGCCAAACTTCCCTCACAAAGAGCAAAACCACAACAATCCCACCCAGACCCACTCAAGCACCAAAAGAAGTGCCTAATGGTTTGTTAAAGATGAGGTGACTCAGGTGGAGATGGCAGGAGGAGGAGAAAAAAAAGGAATGGAATATGGAATAAACCATTTCTTTAAAGACACACAGGGGCAGGATGCAGCTGAAGGTTCAGTAGCCAGTGGCTATACATCCTCATAGATTTATCTCCCTTCTATCACTTCTCTTTTTGCTCTATTTATTTTTTGATTTTTTTTTTCCTTTAAGCAAAATGCTTATAAAAGAAATAAATTTACTAAGCCCTGATGTGTTGTTTTCTATAAAGCAAAACTTTTGGCAAACTAGCTTCCTGAAAGCAAAATCATCTTTATAATGAAGGATTTCCCTGACATTGCACAAACAAATAGGAAAAGAAAGCCTGCAGGCAAGGGTTTATTTATAATAACTCTTCCCTTGATTTTTAAAAATAGAGGACAAAAAGTATGGCCCATTCTTCCTCTAATTTGATGCCAACCAGCTGAGCTAACAATATTGCAGGTACTTACTGTACCAGTCACAGCAATTTTTTGGATACTGGAAGACGGTGGTGAAAAATCCCCAGTGTGTGGCATGCAGTGGCCCTACCTTACTCTTACCAGGACATGCCTAGAGGCCAAAGCAGCACAGTCTGTAGCACAGGACGGAGAGTCAGGAACTCAGCTTTAGACCTGATAAAATTTGTGACATTCATTTTCTTTAGATGAAGAAAATTCTTATCCACAGCGATATGTTCTAACTCTATTTTCAGGCCTTTAACAAAGATAGACTGCGAAAGTGAGTAGTTGTATTACTGTTGTTTTTCACAGAGAGCCTTCTCTACAAATCCTACTGCTTGAAAGAGTTTTCCTGAATACTTTAATCTCACTCCTGCTTTCTCTATTTTTAAGTCTGATCTTAAAACACACAGTTCCTCCCTTGCATGTGCTTCTTCTATCTGCTCGCCAATTATCCATTATTTAACTTTGTTAAATATGTATAAACTTTGCTAAATATATTTATGTTGTTTCATACAATTTCAGCATGGTTGTAGAAGGAATGCCTGGGGACCATCTAGGCCAACACCCTTGCTCAAAGCAAGGTCAACTACAGCAGGTTGCTCATGGCTCTGTCCTGAGTTGGACAGAGATATTTCTAAGCCCTTCCTGGCTTTCTGTTACTGGAACAGGCACATTGCTTACTTGGTCATAAGCAACTAAAATACCAGGCTTCCTGCACCTGCATTTAGTCCACCTTTTATGCAAATAGTGCTTTATTGCTTGTCTCCATGCTAGGGTTTCATATGTTGTTCTAGCTAAACAAAGAGATATTATTTTTTTCCTTTGGTTATCCTGAAAAGAAGCAGACAACATAACTAATGCCTTCAAAGACAAGCTTCCTAGGAACCACTCATCTCTAGTATTGATTATGAAATAATGTACATTCATGCATGCTCAAGGAATATATGAGAATGGTTAACCTTCATAAAAGAATCAACAACTATACTCTTCAGATATAAAGCCCATGTATTTTTTGACAGCATAGATAAAGAAAATAAAAAAGCTAATATACCATACTGTTTTGAACATGTGGGTTCAAAACAACACAGGGATATGCTCAAAATTTATCTTGAATAGCATTTTAGTGAAGTACAATTTCTATCAGTTGGGATCCAGACCTCTATTCTTTAAGTGTATCATGCACATTTCAGTCTAGGAAAATTATAAAAGAAACTGTCCACATTGGGGAGATTACAGTAAAGAAAAAATAGATTTAAATAAAAGAAAAATTATAATGAACGAGAGAGGAAAAGTCACTTTTTAAGAGGGATTTTAGTGAGAAGAAGATGGCATCTTCACTGCCATGTATGGGAAAATGCTCCACAGGTAAGTGTATGACCAGAGCAGGAGTGAAGCAACAAGGCTGGTGCAGTGGTCCAGAAAGAAAATACTGAAAGAATCGTAATGCAAGACCTGTCTTTGCTTTCAAGGCAGGCACAGAAAATTAGAAGTTAGTCCTGCAGTAATTGTGAATTATCCTGAATATAACTATTATATTATTAAATCACATTCACTGATCAAAAAAAAAAAAAAAAAAGATAACTCAGGCAGAGAAGAGAACAGCAGCCTACATTACTTCTGTAAAAGATCATAAAGTCACTGTTGGACAACAGTGAGGGCCATTATAATCCCCAAACTAAATAAATCACTAAGATTATTTTCAAGAAATTTTTACATCATTCATGGAATAAGAAAAAAGGTTGAATCCTGAAAAAATGTTGTGAATAGTAGATAGCTGCATGAACTGGCCAATTCTGCCTGGATTTCTGAAGACTTGCAAAGAATGGTTCTAGGAAGACTGACTACATTTTCTAACAGGTTCTACTACAACTATCCTTAGTTAGGCTTTGACTGGTCATGTTTATAGAAACTAACCTGACACAGCTGCAGGCAACAATTTCTGAGATGAACCTATGCTTCATATAGTGGGAGGAATATGTTAACAGGCAGGATATATTTAGGCAACTAATGATGGAAAGTTTCCAGCATAAAAGCAGCCAAGAAGCTTCTGTAAATAACGCCCAGTTTTGAACATAAGGCATTTCTGATGGAGAGTCCTTGAGTCTGGATCTCACGCTTCACTTGACCATGTGCCAGAGCTTGCAATGGTTGGAGTTTCAGGGCACATATCAGGCCCATCTGTTTGCTTAGCCTTTTGCCTGGAGGAGGGTGGGATACAGTCAGCATGCTGTTCAAACAGTGCATTCCGCAAGTAGTTGGGATGGTGGCTTTGAGTTTCAGTCTTTGACATTGTCTTGGGTTGGTTGAGAAATCCTATGGAATAGTTTTATTTTGCTAAAGACTGACTGCATTATTTATAGATCCTGGTGCTGAGATAGTTGGTGACTTTGAAAATGGCTACCAAAATCAATGCAAATTGATAGATGGTACCAAGATATTTCTTTAAAATTTAATGTGTACTGAATTCAGACACTCAGATCACAGGAAGGTTGCTTGCCTTAGAATCTCACAGTGGAGAGAAAATAAGGTAGTGTGTAAGGATGTTTTTTTCATTTGATATTGGAAGTTTCCAGAATATAGGGCTGTGAATTGAACACACACACACACATACCTACCCCTGTAAACATCAGGGTAACAAACACAATCCTTCTCTAAACAGCTATTTTAAAAAACAAACTCTGCTCCCGTCACTAAAATCTCTACCAGGTCCAAACACTGGTGAAGTAAATTGCCAAATTACAGCACTCTACACCACAGCAACCAGATTTTACAAGGGCTGCACATCCAAATAAATGCCCCTGGGCAACCCATTCATCTAACAGCTGGAAAGGTGACACTTGACATTTGGAAACTTTCCTGTGAAGATTGCTGTAAGGCTTTCCCATTAGTTTCCTGGTGAGACTGTAAGGTCGAATAAGCTGCCTTGAAACCTGCAAAGGGTAACGGAAATGCTCTAGTATCACAAACCTGCTTCATTTAAAATTCTAATTCTCAAGCCATGACTATTCAGATTTTTTTCTAAAGTATTCAATACATTCCAGAGGGGGGAAAAAAAAAAAAAAAAAAAAAAGCAGCAAGCTTTGAGGAGGAAGCAACACAATAAAGCAGGGTTATTAAGTGTTGCATGTATTTCTAGAGGTTAAAGAGGAAGGGGACAAAAAGGAGGAGATACCCTCCTCTCCTCCTATCACAGTTACCCAAATTCACTGTGCACTGAGAAATTAAGCAAGCAGGTCAGAGATTAAAGATGTTTCACACTCACAGCATTTGCATAGGGTCTAAGAAGACGGCACACAAACAGTGCTTTAGAACAAGTGAGAAAAAATATGCACTGATACTAAAAACAAGCTTTCAGCTGAAGTATTTTTAGGAAGTGAAATCAGACCCCAACAGCATGAAATTGCACAAACACGCAATCAGAGAGGCTTTGAGCAGATGGATGGGGGAGAAAGACATCGAGCTGTTATAGTCCCAACTTCAGTTGTTCAAATCTTTTTTTGTGGGAGAATGAATCATGTCTCATGTTTCTAAAAAGTTCCTTGCACTATGAACACACTCTTTGTCAGCTGGTTCTCCACACAGGCTGTCTCTGCAGGTTCTTCTGCAGCTCCTCTAGACTTTGTGCTCTTTCTTTTACTGAAAAAATTAAGGCAGAGGTGCTCAGTCACGAAGACACAAGGAGCACCAAAAGAGAGAACAAGCAGCTACCAGTTTTTCAAGTCTGTATCCCTTAAACTCACATTTCTCAGGTAAATTCTCCTTTGCATTATTTTCCTCTGTGCATTCTTGTGTCCAGTTTATCAGCCTCATCAGAGCAAACTTCAGTTCTGGTGCAGATAATCTGAGTGCTCTGTAAACTATTAGTACACTTGCACTCTAAAAATACTAAAATTGTCTTCCCCAGGTAACAACATTGGCAGTATTTAATTTTTACTTTATGTACTATTGAGATATTTTACTTTTCAATACTGATGGGCTCACTTCTTTTCCACAATTGCCCAAATAGGACTTCTGCTTGCACTGTGTACTGTGCATGAAGGCTTGCTACCCTTGAATGAAATTCAGAGCTGGGGCCAAGAAAATGTTGCTTGGATTTTAGTATTAAGATAATGTGAGAAAACTGGGTTCAACTACTCAAACTCAAGTATGTGATCCGAGTTGAATGAATCTATAATGTTCAAATCACCAGATAATATAGGTATTAGTTCTTCAAAACTTGTATTTTTAATATAAACCACAATGAAATTATTTTAACAATCACAATAAAGCATCTAAAAGCAGACAGAAATGGGAAAGAGAAAAATACTTTTAAAAAATCACCTGTATGTATCTGTGCATGTACCAGGAAGCTTGCTTTCCATCATTTACTGATTCCACTGTAGTGTTAGCAAGACCACCAACGTCACCCCCTGCAAAAACCCAGGGTTCACTTGTTTGCATAGTTTCTGGATCTACTTCAGGAAGACCCCATCTGTTAAACTTGATAGGTGCCATGGCCTCTCTGACTGTAATTAAAGTGAATGACAACTACGTTAATAGAAGAAACAAAAAACTGTTGCTAAAATCTGTCAAATATACACTGATAATAACAATTAGTAAAACAGTTCTAAGTCCTAGTTCTTTCACTCACATAAATGTGAATTTATAGTAGAAATGAAAAGTCCTTTTATACACATGAATGCTTTTATTGAGCTAGTGGAGGTATGCAATTATTAACAGGACTCAGACAGAAGAACAATATGCACTACACAGAACAGCAGTTTGGTAGAAAAGTAACCAGTTCCTATGTGCCTGCAAAGCCAGACTTGCGTACACCATCAATGTACACAAGTGTCACAAGGAGTGACTGACTCAACACAGGCTCAAGAAATAATTGGTGTTAATGTTCTTCTGCTCACTCCCTGAGAACACACTGAATATCCCAGAAGCTGGAATTCACAAAGTCATTCTCACTGGCATTATTCATCTCCCAGGGAAGAAGTCCAGCACTGCTGAGTATCCTACTCATGAACAATCTTAAAGGAAAAATAAATTTTCTCCCTTTTCCTCCACCCATAGCTTTGTACTGCACTTAGCATATCAATGTACTCTTCTCCTGAATAACCTGCCATATACTCTCTTGTGCAAATTAATATGCAGCATACGATTTTTGAGGTTTAAAACAAAAAATAATGTTTCTGATACAATTTCTAGAAATTCATTTAGATCTCCAGAATTTACTTCCAATATTTATTAACCTCACAACAGAAATGATACTCTGCTTTTTGACAGGTCATTATTAAACCTGACTGAAAATTTTCAGATGGAACATTTTCCCATCAGAAAATGTTATGTTATCAAAGGTTTGGCTTTGACAAAGTGTGTTGGTTTTAAAGAAATTTAATTCTGAAAAAGATATATTTCAATAAAGTCAAAACCGTCCTGACTTAATATTTAAACTCAGAACATCCTGAAAGTAAGGTTCACTTTGAAACTTATTCTGTATATTAAGAATAGAAACATAAAAAACCACTCAAAATTAAATGCTTACATGAAGACAAGCTCTTTCCTTTTACACTGTAATTTCTGAATTTTTTTTAGAGCATGCATTAAGATAGCTTATTTTTTTTTCATGTTAGTAAACAGAATATATAGGCATTCTGCACATTAATTATTACTGTCCTTAAAAATAATTCAGATGTGAAATAAAAAAATAATTTTTATATTGCATGGCATTATACAAATGGCATTAAGTACACAGAAAAGTTCAAAAAACCCTTGCTCTATATTAACATGACTTTTATTATGCATTTTTAAATTATTTTATTATTAAAGACATTTCAAAGTAGCTTCATGAAGAGAATAATTTTTTCAATATATATTTTTAGCAAAAGTTCATGGCATATATCAAAATGAGGGGTTTTTTATATAGCTTTGTCTATAGGAACTGAAGATCCGGCAATAAAACATAGCTTAAAATTACAGTGTCCCTCAGGGACATACCACTAGCAGATGCAGATTGCCAAGGTCAATTAAACTGATGTAGTTGTGCTGTCATATATGTAAAAGAGAAACCTGACAGTTTAAGACAATAATATTTCTCCAGTATGAGGGCAAAGTCACAGTATTGCCCCAGTGCATGCCTGAGTATACAGCAAGCTTCAAATGCATCTTTCTTGCACATGGTTGTAATGGAATTTTCTTCCCAGGTGCTGTATCCCACTTCACCTCCACATCATATCTTACGAGTGTATTGCAAAGTGGGGGCTGTCTATAATCCGGGGCAAAATAATAAAATAGGAAGCAAGGCACAAACATTGTCACCTACTTGTCCCACCTTCTTCCTCACCCTTGGCACGCACAAATATCCAGAGGACTCAAATCCAAAGTGTATTTTGCAACTGGTTCAGAAGCCAGAATTACAGAAGACAGTTTTAACCTGAAACACTGTACCAAGTTTTCATACCAGAAGTATTTAATCTATCTTCAAGACCTATTGCTTGTACAACTCCTCCCACCCCACATATTCTTGTGGATTAACTTGGCAAAAATAATATCCGCATAGTAACAGAATCAAAAACTTATGAAATGGTTTCCCTTTAAAAATATTTAAATAACTGAAAGATCACACCAAACAAAACCTTCAGACTGAGACATTTTTCAGTCTGGAAAATTAGTTTGTTTGTTTATTTGTTTGGGTTTGAGGTTTGTTTTTTTTTTTAAAAAAAAAAAAAAGGAAAGCACTGATAATGGCTGATAGCAGTTTTATTAAGAATGCGTCAGTAATATTTATAAATCAATACATTAACTTTCTCTCTATGTCTCAGCCTGTCTGTACTTCAAGAAAGCTTTTGATCATCTTATATTTGTCATATATAGGATAACTTATTGCAAGCAGTGGTACCATCTCAGCATGTGGTCTAGACAGTTCTTGCAAGCTAAATATGTACAGGCTTATAAAGACATGTTTGGAAAAAAAACAGAGGAAAACTTTATGCTGCAGGATTTGGTATCAGGGATTTAACAGATGACTTTTGTTTCTCTGAGGACTGAACCACAGTAAAGGTGTTAGAGGGCAACATGGTATTGGAGATGTAGTTTTTCAGAGGAAATGATGTAAAACTAGAAGTCCTGACTACTTACCTCATTTCATCTTGTGCAAAAATAGGGTATTACCTCTGTTATCTTGGATCTATTACATTCCTCTATCTTTGGATTGTTTTGTGCTAAAATAGCTGTCTGGAGACAATTATACCAAAAGCTTTTTGATTGCAAAAAATGCCCAACATACCTTCGCCTGAAACATCTCTCCGGGGACTGGAGATTTGTCTGCCTGATCAGTATTTTCAAAATTGGGAAAAAAACCATTTCCCTGGTGGAAAGGTTGACATGGTATCCAGCAGCTATTTCCTTCTGTCTTTTTTGTAATCTCCAAGATTTAGGTTAAGTAAAAATAAGGGTATGATTTAAAAACATCTTATATAAGCGTTCCTAACGGCCTCACAATTTGGATCTGGTACCCAGGGCAACTGTGAGGCTGCAGGGACCACCTCCCAGACCACCTGCAAAATGAAGGGGGGAATTTGGTCTTCACAAAGGGAAGTCTCTTCCCTGCCCCTGCAAGGCATGAGACAGCCTAGGAGCCAAACCTGAGCTTGAAATGAGGTGACCCCAACTATCAGTTCTCTGAATTGTTGCTTTGACACTAAACAATAACTGAACTCGATACTTAATGTTTTTGTTGGTGCACAATTTGGGAGAGGGGTAAAGAAAATAATGTCTTTTAAATGCCTGCAATCTCACACCCTTTAAATTTTAAAACTAACATAGCTTTTCTCTTGAAAATCTGGAGTACAATCCTGTGGCTGTGCTGCCTTCTCTTCCATATCCTGGTGAGATATTATATATAATTTGAAAAGATCTTTCTGGATGAAAGACAACATACAATTGAATTATTCTGATGCTATCAAGTGATGCTAACACAAATAACACCAAACAAAAGGACAGTTCTGAATATATATTCCAAATTTGCTATATTCACAGAGCAAACAAACACAAATGGAAAAGCAGCATCAAATTATAGCAATTGCAAAAACAATATTAAAATATAAGTGAATACAGAAAAAATATTTTAATTAACAAAACAAACCAAATGGAAAAGATTCCTCAAATAAAGCTTTAAAAGTGAGTCTGTGTGTGTTTGACTGCCATGACTAATTATGTATCCATGTAATGTGTGTTCAATTTGGGCTTATTTAAATAGCAGAAATGCTCATTAGCTGCAGTATATCTGTGAAGCTTCAATAAACAGTTTAATGGTTTTTATGTTTAACCAATTTCATAAGTTCCTGTAATTTTAGCTTTAGTAGCTCATTAATATTATTTTTATATCCATCTTCCTTGACAGTGAATAGTAGCATTACTTCAGAAAAATACAAATACACTGTAACTTTCTTAATCTCAAATATAAAAATATAGCAGTCACATGTACCAACAGACTGATTAACTGCTGACACTGCCCAGTCTAAATGCCCAGCAAATAAATAAAGGCACAATCGTGCTTCCCACAGCCTTTGCCTCACTAGTGTATTTAACCAGAATTAAAAAGTGGTTTGACTGGATAAAGCTGGGTCCAAGTATGCTATGAGAGGCCCCTGCTGCAAACTGGTACTGACTTTGTTTTCTCCCTGTCACCAGCAAGCAAATGTGTACTGATGCCTATCAGGTGAAAGAGCAGAATTCCTGCTCAAAGTTAGGGTTTTAGAAGCCATCATGAAGTCACTTTAGGATATTGGCAACTGGTAATAATTTCAGGATGTGGAACTGCTGCACTCAAACTCATTCAGTAAACCTATTTGTGGAGAAAAATCCTATTCCAAATGACTCAGCAGGGAAACTCCTACTTATTTCACTAGGAATATTTTGAATCTAGATAAATTTCAGTTTTATATAACAACTTTTAAAAAGAGTCTGGTGACTAAAAGTCCATTCTGTGGGTGCGAGACAGATGCTGTTCTACCAGGGAGACATCAGGTCACCCTGTGGGCATTCCCAGCTGGGCCATCACAGTCACCTCTCTTCCCCCCTCCTAGTCTTTCATTAGATAGTCAAGGCTTTGGTGCTTTGAGGCTGAACTTATCTAGCTGTCTGACCAGGCTGTATAAAGAAACTCAATCCTCCCTGCAGGACTGCTGGCTTCCGTACCATCTGAAGTTCTGTATTTGTACAAAGGAAAACTAAAATCTTTTCCACTTAGGAGCTCAGAGCTCTGCAAGCTTTTTGCCTTTTTTCCTAGCAAATGCTTCTCAATCTATAGAAATAAATATTAACTATGAGTGGGTTAAATAATAACATTGTAAACTACTTGGGCAAATTTATCTTTGCTGTAGGTTGAACTATGCTAGGAGGGCATTAGTAATACTCTAGTAGGCCTTCTGGGGTTTGCTGTTGCTGTTTCCAAGCAAGATGACAGTTGTACTAAAAGTAAAAGCAAAATATCTGAAAGTTGTGACTCATTCCCAAAATGTGAAATACAATTTTGCCCTTCAGTTACCGTGCAATAGCTAGCTACTACCAAAAATTTAATAAAACATTTTTTTGCTCACAAATAGCCTGCTATTTCTGTGGTTGTTTGCAAAGGCAGTATTTGGAGTTTGCCTGGATATTTTTTGCATTCTCCTTTGGTGTCTCTCCAGTAAAATAAAATAGACATTACCACGCAAAGATTTAGTGCTCTGGACATGGAGATACTTCCTCCTTACTGCTGCCTGCTAAATGGTGTTAAGCTAAACTTACATTGCCAGGTACCTGTCCTGCCTTAGTCCCTGTCCTGCACTGCATTTTGTCGTTTTGAACAAGTGTACTATTTTCCATAATTTCTCCATGGCTCTCCTCAGAAATTTAGGAAAATAAATCAGAACAAGGACATTTGTTCCAGTGCAAAATTTTTCAGTCCAAAAATATTGTTCCCTTTTGCTTATCAGAACAAAATAGATAAGAAAACAATTATTCAAAGTTTGCTGTACACAGTGCTAGGGAGTACATAGAATTACATCTGGATATATTTAGTAGTTGCAATTTGGAATGGTGACAAAGATATTGCAGAAATTCACTAATATATCATAGACCTCCAAAAAGAACAAACCGAGAAGAAGAAAGGTACAAAATTCTCTCATAGCTTTATGTTTATGTGGGTCAGCTTGTGCTTGCAAAATCTTTTTTTTTTTTTTACAACAACAAGCAAAATATTTTTTTTACTGCATCTGCAGTAGTTTGATTTGAGCAATTTGTTGGGGTTTTTTTAAACTGGTTTCAATAAAGTGGTAATGCTCTTAAAATAGTCTAGAAGGTAACTCTCCTGTTTTGTCTGTTAGCAACTTTCCGAGCATAAAATGGACTTAAGTGTCCAATTTTTTTAATTCAAGGTGCATTTATATGATTTCCAATGGGAGGATGAATACTTACTAGAACTGTTGCTTAAAAACACAATCAGCATTTTAACAAAACAAAAAAGACAAAATACTTACTGTAAGCACATGGAATCTCAGTTGCAAATGTCATAGTTAATGTGCAAGAATAAGAAACACCTTATTGATGATAATAGACTAGAAAAAGCTTTCTAACCTATGAGCTATTTCTGCTCAGAAGAGCAGTCACCCACATGCTTATGTCCTGTTAAACAAAACTTTAAAACATGAGCATCAAGGCTGCCCTGAACACTTTGCTGAACTGGGGCTAAATCTGATTTTAATCCTTCTGTTTTTCATATTATTTTATTTATTCTTACATCAGTAGCATCAGCATTTAACAGTATTAATAACAAACAGGACATATTCTGCTAGCTTAGCCCATACCAATACTGCATTTGCAGTTCCCTGAAATGCCTTATAAATTAGGTCACTTGACAGAACTCTTTGTATAAACAAGAATTAATACATTTATTCAACCTGCATCTGAGTCATATAGTCATAGAATAATTCAGATTAGACTGGCCTTCTGGATGTCATCTAGTCTATCCCCTTCTTAAAAATTAGATCAAGTTCCAAGTTTGCTTTTGATATTGTGCATTTTGTAGTACCTCCAGTATTTTCATCACTGTCTTTTGATGGAGAATACCTTGAATGCAAAAATGTGCTTCCTTTAAAAAAAAAACAACAAAACAAAATACTAAGAATATAAGATGCCTTTGGTGTTTGGGTTTTGTGGTTTTTTTTCATTTCTTTTTGTTATGTATGCTGAGATAGCCTGGAGATTTGGTTGTAATCCAGCTCAGTGGTGAAAAGCAAATTTGACTTTCATTAAGACAGCTTAGTCAAAAATAAAGATTTAAAAGCAACCGAAACAGTATGCTCAAAATAAACACTTTATTCCCTCAAGTCTTAGTTTCTTTTTACTTTCACAACATCCAAAACAAATGCCTTGTATTTTTCCCTGTAATTTGATTGCTATTCTAATAGCAGTTGCACCAAAAATACAGTGTGAAACTGAGGTGTATTGATCACCTCCAAGGTAAATGACTCTTCTTTCATGATTAGCTCACTGCATGACTTTGTTCCCCTCCCATTTTATAGTCCTATTTAAAAACCTCACAAGTAATTTATAGAATCATAGAATGGTTTGGGTTGGAAGGGACCTTAAAGATCATCCAGTTCCAATACCCCTGCCATCAGCAGGGACACTTTCCACCAGACCAGGTTGCTCAAAGCCTCATCCAACCTGGTCTTCAACACTTGCAGGGAGGGGGCATCCACAGCTTTCTTGGGCAACCTGTGCCAGTGTCTGACCACCCTCACAGTGAAGAATTTCTTCCTCATATCTAATCTAAACCTACCCTCTTCCAGTTTAAAGCCATTACCCCTTGTTCTACCACTACCTGCCCTTGTAAAAAGCCTCTCCCCAGCTTTTTTGTAGTGCCCCTTCAGGTATTGAAAGGCCGCTATAAGATCTCTCCTAAACCTTTTTTTTTCCATGCTGAACAGCCCTAACTCTCTCAGCCTGACCTCATAGGAGAGGTGCTCCAGCCCTCTGATCACTCTCAAGGCCCTCCACTGGACTTGCTCCAATAGGTCCGTGTACTTCTTACGTTGGGGACCCTAGAACTGGATGCAGTACTCCAAGATGGGATCTCAGGAGAGCAGAATAGAGTGGGAGAATCACCTCCCTCAACCTGCTGGCCACACTTATAATGAACCTGTCTTAATTCTTGCTTGATGGAATAGGTAAAAAAAAAAAGGTTTCAGAGATCAGATCAGTTCAGTTCAAAGTTGTAGTATAATGAGTTTCTCTAAAGTTAATTAGTGACACCAGAAGAAATCCTCAAGAGTATTTTCTGAGATCCCATTTGCATTGAGAGGAAAGCAAGACAGATATTGAGCAACCGTACCTCGAACCTGAGTTCCTGCTCTATACAGCAATATACAGAAAACTGTTTTGTTATCAGACTCTCAAGTTTTGTTCTAAGAGGTACACCTAAAGGACAAAGAAATTCCTGTTAAGAAGACCAGCAGTCACAAGTTGTGTAACCTCCAGAAGACACATTTCACAGAAATGTCAAAGGACAGGAAATGGTTGCAGCTAAAATAACAATCAGCATTTACAGAATGCATTAGTCAGGGTTACCTTTATTGTCGCTTAAAATGGAGCCAAAGGCACTGATGACCACATCAGCTTTCAGGCGGACAACCTGATCCTCATCTTCTTTCCAGTTTCCATCGTTGTCTTGTTCAGTTCGAACAAACTCCATAGCAACAATTTGTCCACCTCTAAGTACAACTTTCCGAGGGGAGAGGAAAGGTAGAAATTCACACTTCTCTTCTTTTGCAAGTTCCACCTGTAGAGTAGAAGCAATAAAATATATAACTTGAACATTGTTGTGTTTTTATAAAAGAATAAAGCAAAACAATTTTTTACTCAAGATGCTCCCATGCATTGTTCTGTAGTAGAAGTCACCTGTGTACAGTATACAGACAGTCTTAATACTAACTGCAGAGTCTCCTGTGCTATTAAATCATGCAGTTCTAGACAGTGGCACTAGGTAAATTTGCAATGCAAATATTCCTCCAATATATATTTTTTTTGTTCCCTGTTACTTTGAGTATATATAACTCCTTTGAGGGCAAAATAGATACCTTATGTAACTATCCATGTCTTTTAAGAGGCCTAGTATTAATTAAGTACATGTCCTGAGTTGTGTTTACTATGCTTTTAAGATGTCATTAAATGCTGACTACCATGTGCAAACAACAGTTTTCTGGGTGACAATCCAGACTTAAGATCTTCTGAATCTCCGTTGTGGTAAAACTGCTGAAGTCAAACAGCATTTTGTCTTAGCAAAGTCTTCATGATTTCATTGTCTATGCCTACACAACAAAACTTTTTTGAACACGTAATATCCAACCTGACATCATTCTAGCATGGCCGTTACTAGCTGAAGCTACTTTTATTTTAGTTTTTTTCAAGGTCACTGCATGACTAGGTGAGTACACACATTGACAACTTTTAGGAATTTACTCAGGCTGCTAACAAAGATTTTGGTTCAGAGTGACAGCTGATTCTTGATTAGTAAGAATCTGAGTAGCACATGAGTCTGCCTTTGCAACAGCTTCAGTAATCTCATTGTGTCTAGAATTTTTAAATGAAGAGCAACAGAAACAGGAGTAAATTATGCATCAAGAGACCCTCTCTGACTTTTTTGTACCTCCATTCTCCCTCTAAAAGTTCTCTAAGATCTACCAAGCTACCATAAATCTCATTCTAAAGATGCATTAGATGTTAGATGTCCTGATATCCTCAAGTATGCAAAAGTGTAAAGTATGGACCAATTAAATGATAATGGAAAAAAGATCACCAAAATAAGAAAATCTAACTTGAAAAAACCCTCCCATAGTACAGATACATTGAGTTTCAAAATGTGCAGATGTCCTCATAAATGCCAAAGTGCAAAGCCAAACTGAAAATTGAATGCTGAAATCTGTGATGAATTACATTGCTCTATTGCCATTGGCAGTGATTCAAAACCAAAATCGCTGTAAGCAATTTTATAAGATTTTTAAGGCTCCCAAGGCAACATCAGGATCACCAACATGCATTAGACAGCAGGCAGGAGATATCATTCTGAGATCTAGCCATGGCCAGAAGAGTTACCTACAATACTCCAATGGTTGTTTGATCTCTGGGGTGCTTGCAAGATAAAAAATTTTACTGTATTTTCAAATTTACAATAAATTCTACCCCCTGTATGCAAACACATCTCTGACTTTACAGGAAATAGACACAACTGAGGAAAATTATTTATACAGAAATTATATAAAGCGAGCTTCAGATGTTTTAATAAACATTTAAACATTTTAAGAGCATTTCTCTAAACAAAATCTTTACTATGTGTCTTTTAAGTACCTATAGCACACTTTCAGGCCCTGTAGAAATAAAAACCAAAATTTGTTCTCATAAATGCTGTTATTCAGTTTTACCTCTTCTGGGACAGCCCTGATATTAGTGAATCCCTTCCTAAAGACCACAAACACGCGACGAGCTCCACAGCGTAAAGCAGATGTTGCACAGTCAAAAGCAGTGTCTCCTGCCCCAAGTACAATCACAGTTCCATGTAGTGATGGCAATGGAGAGTGACAGGCACACATCCCTGAAAGATGAAAGGAAAACCCCATTTTCAAGTAGAGAAACCATTTCTGCATGACAGCTCAAAAGGTACTTGTACTCAAAGCAGTGTAAAATTGCATCTTACAGTTTCCAGGCATGGAGTGTCACTATCAAATTATTCTGCTTCACTGAAAGACAGTTTTATTCCCGTTTTTAAGATATGCTCATATACATAATTTCATAGTCAGTACTCTAAGCAGCTGCACCTTTCTATCTGGAAAGAATTCAAATGACAACACGTTTGTAGGATTGTTGGTCCTGTCAGGTTGAAATTAGCATTGTGAGATCTTTTTATTCAAAAAGCATGTTTCTCTCTTATAAGATTCATTATTCTCTCAGTTAAAAAAACCCAACACCTTTTAACAGATTATAAATAATAATACTTGGTATTTTTCAAAAGATGAACAGGTGTTGATAATTTGTGTAATAGTTTCTCCAAGTTAGTCCCCTCAGTCAGTTTTCTACAAGGCACTGACCCTGTTCTGGCTATGACATGGTTCTCAGAGGCTATTCTCTAAGGCAGCTGAACATGAGGCAGAAGGAACACTATTATTAGAGTAATCCTAGCTCTTCCACTGTGAGAAAACATTTTATCTACAACTTTCTACAAACTGCAAAAAGTTACAGGGAGAGAATGATGACATTATGTGTTCACCATCTACAGCTTGTATTTGATGATTTGATTATTCAAGAAATACTTAAGTAAAATTGAACTGTGTGTTCCTTGTATGTGACTGCCTTTATCACAAGTTTAAATACAACTAACTGTTGATTAGGTAAAAAACTTCAACTTAAAAAATAATGCTATAAACAATATAAAGCTATATTCCCAATAAGCCCATGATAATACTTGAGTATCCCAGTATATAGTAGCAGCAGATTTTCACATGCAATTGTAAAAAACCACAAGTACCATTCAAGGAAACCATCCTTTTAATTTAGACATATAAACAGAGTGAGAAACAACATTTTAATACACATTCTTTCTCCATGTTTAAAATGCTTAATATATGGTAAATGCTATAATTTCCCTGCTATGTATATAGCATTGCATTTACTATTTACTTAATAGGCTTCTTATTCTAAAATTCTCTCTAAACTTTTCTAATTATTTTTAATTAACTTAATCCTTCACAAAAATTGGACATTGAGCAGTAGAAAAAGCACAAGTGCACCAGGGGAATGGCAACTCAGAGTGCCACTACGAGACTAGTCTAGAACAGATCAGGCACATCAGCCCACTTTGCTCTTGGTAAGAAGGCCACTCCCAGGTTAAATTAATGTCTATGTATTTGCAAGGGGTACTCCTTTTGGATGAAAGTATATTAGCAAGTGGTATTCAGAACTGAATAAGCAGACAGTATGTATTTCACCGTGATTAAGTCTATTATGTCTATTATTTAGAGAACAGTCATAGTAAAAAAAGAAGATACAGCGGGATATAGGGCATATATATTTTATTTTAAAATTCCATGCTTTAGAGAGCAAAAGTTGTCTACAACTACAGACAGACACGAGGCAAATTAAGAGACCATGTTAATTAACAGACAACACCAAAGAGCTATCTATCACTGTCCATCAGAAAAGGTTAGTTCTTCAAAGTTTTTCCTTTTTTCATTGTAGACTTAATATCATTTACATATCCTGGCAAATCAAGAGCACGACTTTGCAGTTTTTTTAAAAGCTGTGGATCACATGCAGGCTGGCAACTTACAGTACATGACTGCTACATGTCCATACAGAATTCTATACAGTGGTTAAATATGGGTTCATATGTACAAGACCACATACTGCACCAAGCATAAGCGCAGAAAACTGTGCATGGAATTTATTTTTTATCAACACATTGGGGAATCTAGACCATGAGTGAACATGAAGTAGAAATCACAAGCCCTATCTCATACATTCATTTGGGGCTTACGCCTTCACTTTCAGGGCCACTGAAAGCAGGTATACAATTTGGGGACCAAACATAGACATTTCTGTACTCAAAACAAAGATGTAAAAGCATAAAACAAGACTGCATTTGGTGCCTACGAACTGAGTGTTGCCTTACTAACTCCTCACATACTACTGTTGTCTTCAGTCTTAGACTGTAAGTTCTTTGGGTAAGGAATTAGTGCTCCTCCCATACATGTGTCTAAAACATGCAGCACATGACTTGGGATCAAATAAAATCATTTATCAACAATATACAAAGCAGCTGCTTATATGGGTTGGCAACACCTTCTTCAATAACAAATTTTTTCAAGACCATCTTATATATACTATTTATATCAAGATAATTTATACAAATGAGAAGCTTATGATATATATATATAACTTATTAGGGGCAATGATTTGCTATGTGCTTAGATTTTTATATATGACTATTTGCTTTACAGTCTCTAGGACTGACTTTCCTGACCACACTCCTGATGTTGCAGCTCACCAAGAGAAAACCCTGCCCCAGACCTATTCATTGGGAAGTGCTTCATAATTGGATGTGCTGCGTGTAACCAGCTCTCCATGTTGACGTATCAGTAACTGCTAATGACTTACCGAACATGATTGCAACAAAAACATAGTACCACACACCTGGTTTACTTGCCATTGCTACCAAAGGTAGGAAGTCTTTAGATGTATAGAATCCTTGATCCATTCTCAGTCCTTGGAATATACTGTCTCTGTTTGGTTCTGGTAAACCTAAAAGAGATATTTTAAGGCATATCAGAACTACAATGGAAATTTCAATGATCAATATATACTTCACATTACAGACATGTTCTCAAAAACGTCTTCAATACAATTACTTTTACAAACCTTCAGATGTCTCTAAAAGAACATAATAAATTACTTTCGTTCCATGTTTGTAGTCTGTAGCTTACGTACCTGGTGATCTTTTAATAATACTGGTACTTGAAAATAAGGTTGTTGGATAACTGTGTATTTATGTAACTCATACCAAAACAAATGCAGAGGAAAGGGTTAGAGAGAACAGGATGTATGCAGGATGTAGAAGCAGGGAAGCTACTGGGGAAGAGAAGACTCTTCTAAAGCATTTCTTGTATTGCTTTACCTGCCTGCACACCCTTACTGCTGTGAAATGGTTTTGTTCCCTTTGTTTTCAGGCATTTTTCAATACAGCTAGCCTGCAGATAATACAAATGAGGCAATAATAAACAGCTTAAACAATGAGCAGAGGAGGACAAACACTAATGCTGTAGATCTGTCTTATCTGCGAGTATTTGTATGCCATCATTTTTTGTCCTTGATTGTTTTCTCAAAGCTCCGAAGTCCTTATTGGTCGACATTTATTTATAGTTGTTAATAGCACACATTTGTACAGCTGTAGGATACAGACAGGAATACACTTCACAAACAATAATAGAAACAAATACCTTTCAGTTAAAAGAAAGCAGCAAAAAGCATTTTCCAACTATCAAAGAATATCTTCTCGTTGATGTGTGAACATTTGGACAGCAAAAAAAACCAGCCCAGCTGACAAGGAAGTTAAAACCTTTTCTTCCTGCAAATGCAACAGTATTTTCAACAAGGCCTCGACTTTCATATTAACATCTAAAAAACCATAATATTGTCAAAGTATGTTATTTAATAATTACATACTGAAATGGAGTAAATGTCAACAATATTTCTAAGAAAACACTAGAACTGAGAAGTCCTCAGAGCAAGCAGGCAGAACTGGAGCATGCAAAGCAATCTGTGTTCCCTCCATTCTCATGCATGGATGGCAGCAGACTAATCTTTCTCCTCTTTGAGGCATGCTGGTCTGGGAAACCCCAACACCATGTTAGTGTCAACAATAAGACAGGATTGCACTTCAAGGAGTGCTGTTCCAGGTAGGGAAGATTTAGGGCATTTTTATGTTACTGAAGCAGCAAAAATCTGTCTCATTACAGCATAAGATCAAGACTCAGTCATAAGAAAACTTAGAATTTTTTCATGAGTCAGTTGATATGAAGGAAGTTTCTTACGTCTCTAGATACCTGAATGAAGTTACCATAATACAAGAAGAAAAAAAAGTATATTTTTAGTGTTAACAGTTTTAGTGAGGAAAATGAAAAAATGTTCTCAGTTAATTCAAAAGGCTTACAAGTCAAAAAGTAAATTAAAAAATCCTGAAATTTTTGCATTTCAAAAATGTCATGTTACTGAACACTTTCTTGATCTCTATTTATAAAAAAGTAATCATGACTCAGTTGTGGAACATCTGACTTCCAAAACATCGCTGATCTATAGTTTAATATTGAGAAAAATATGGTTAGAAAATACTAGCACGAACTGAACTTCAAGACCTTTGAATGCTCTACTTCTTGGGCAGACTGGAATATCAACTAATGAAGAATAAATAATGGATATCTTAAGAGGCTGCCAGAAATACTTAGTGCTATTGAAAGTACAATGTGTAAAATGTATTAAAGAAATTATTTTTAAAACTGCATAGGTTTTCCTCTAAGTATATATTGCAAAATCACCTATGGCAAGAACAATACCTCACAAAAAGCTCTCAATGACTGCCTACAGGCAGAGGACAGAGTAATACAACTATTTCTATTGCAGTATCCATAAACTAGCTCAGAGGCCTCAGTTCACCCTTGGGAGAAACACTGTTGTCATTAATGAGACACAGAGCCTGCATTAAAGATAATTTCCTTTCTACCTAATGTCTATCCCCATTCAAAAACAAGGAGAAACCCTCACAAATATTTATTTTCCACTTATTTTTGCCACTTTTACAATCTCCTAATGAAAATTAATTAATCTTTAACACCATCAGTAATTTAGCTCCCATAGGCTGAAGAAAGAACAGAATTGTAATGTTCATGGTTCAGGTTCATCACTAAGTTCAGTGTTACTGAAATCAAAGGAGTTGGATAAAGTATGTATTGCATTCAATAATGTTTAGCTTGGCTGATATGACAAAAAAAAAAAAAAAGCCTAAGAGGTAGTCAGTATACATGGCATTTTCTACTATTTATTTTACTATTTTCATTTTGCTGAAAACTCCATGAAAACCAATTTTGCAATACTTACATTTGAAAAAAATGCAGGGGATTTTTCCCTTATACTTATAAACATCTGGAACAGTTTCAAGTTATTTGCTAAGCCTCTGCTGAAAGTTGTACTAGATTCTGATCTAGTTTTGCAGTTTAGTATTTGCCATTATAATGACCGCATTTAATTTTGTTAAAACAGAGAAACTGAGTACTTCTCAAAGCCACTAGGCTAGCTAAGAAAGAAGCAGACAGAGGCAGACAAACAGAGAAAGAGATCAAGAACCGATAAGATCCACTTTAGATAGACACCATTTCATAATAAAAGGCCATCCCACAGAAGTATGCTTTATAGACAGATCAAATATTGATAAATAGCCAACACCCTCTCAGGAGAGAGAACATTTGATGAAAAAAGAGCTGTAGAGGAAAAATGTAGTTTTGAGCAAACAGTTTTAGAGAAGAAATAAAATTTTCAAAAACCCCAGCCATCTATGAAAGACACAATTTAGGTCAAAATAATGAACCAAGAGATATACTCTTTGAAGATAAATCTGAGAGATCCTTTAGCAAAAGGGAATTCACACACTAGTACAAAATACCAAAGAGCCACCCAAGAAAAAATTATTAGAAAAACATGAATTCTTTCCCCTAGGTTTTAGGCTGAAGTCAACAGTAGTCAGTTCTCTGCTCCCCAAATCCATCTGCAAGCCACCTAAAAAGCTTTTTTATTTATTACTTTGTATTTCTTGTCCTGAAACAATCTTTCACTATTCTAGTTCTCCTGTCTTTAAATAACCTATTACCAAAACCTAGTGATAACAATTCTTTCCTTCACCTGCACTAAAGAACACCTCTTCTGAAAGGCAACCAAGAGGAGGCAGCCTAGAAAGACAATTCCACTGGTGTTGTTTGGATGGACTCTCCACACCCATACATGAGCAGAGGGCTATGCCTGGCCCCCCACCTTCTGCAGCCAAAGCTCTGGACTTCCTGAAGCCTCAGCCCCTTTAGCTGCTGATGCCAGGGAACAAGCTTCTGAAGCAGCTGATATCCAAGCCACACAATGAAGCCTCATGGGCTGTGGAAAACAGCATTTACTAAGAATAGATAAAGTAGAAACACCATGAAAATAACAGCTTGCATGACAGATCTAGTTCAGCTTTGCAAGAGCTAATATAGACAGTCCCAATCTGGGTCAGGAACAGTGTAGAAAGCAATTCATCTCTATTCCTGACCTATCCTGATCTCTATTCCAGGCTTTGCTAGGCCCTGCCTTTCATCTTCAGATGCTCCAGCTATTTCTCAGTAAGCATCATTCGCTTAGTATGAAGCCCTCTTTCCTTCTTTCCTTCATTTTATCCCCACAACCCCTTCTCTAGTGGGCTATACTGCACCATCAGTCTCTCTCCCACGTCTGACATACCATATACCTTCCACAGTCACTAGCCACTATAACAGTAGCTTTGAAAAACACAACTTCCCATTTTTATATCCCTTATATATACATATAAATATACACATGCAGATATATATTAGAAAAAACATCATCTGCTTCCCGTCTAGATCTTGTACTCTTTGTTCTCACAATACTGATGCATGTTAATTTTCTTAACTAGCGGTGTTAAGTCCATTGTCTCCTTTTCAAGAGAGAGAATTTAGATCTTCTCACAAACCCCTAGTCCAGGTGAAATACAAATTGCTAAACGATTACAGTCAATTTGTCAGATATACAAGGCAATATACAAGAGTGATGCATACACAATGTAAGGGATCGGCATGCAGAGCAATGCACCTAGTCCACTTGGTTGCTGCACAAATAAATCAAGGCATGTTAACACATGAATCAGCTAAGTCTGAAAAGGAAATAAATACTGCTGCTAATACTGTAACTATTAGCTCAGTCTGAAAAGGAAAACTTGAAGTGGGAGTAGAAGCACAGCATGTCTCTCTTTTCTATGTTGATCAAATTCCCTCTGCCCAGAAACAAAAATGACTTCTGAACCTGATCTCATTGTTTGGATTACTTAAATCTAACATATTTGGCCAGATTTGCAAATGAACCTCTCAGCCAATCTTAATAACTGACATAGAAAATAAGCCCTTGTCCTTAGTATAGGTCAAATGTAGTTTTCACTAGTAGCTGACTGAAAACAAATCTCCAGACAAAAAAAAAAAAAAAAAAAAAAAACTGAAGTGAAAGTGTAAATATACCATTGTCTACAGGGACAAAACTTGACAGAGCATTGTGAAGTTTTCTGTCTTTCCTCACATCAAACATCGAAAAGTTTGGTTTCATTCAATTTAATTGTGATAACATCACATTTTGGAAAAAACTTAAGCTGGACCAGGTAAATAAATGAAGAGCAAGGATCTTTCAAGAAATATGCCCTCTCTTTGCATTCTTAGCTGTTGCTATCCTCACAAAATAGAGTTTTTCAAGATGAGAACTGTCTGAACTGTTATTATCAACCCCTCACTCTCAGGTAAAAATGTAAATTCAGGCTGGTGAATGCAATCTGCATCTGAATATACCAAGAATTATTTTTTTAAAAGCCAAGACACTCTATTTTGACATTTTTTATAATGAATCTTTCAACTTTGTTTCAAAATGACATTACATTTATAAATTTATCCAAACTGAATTCAAAAGAAAACAAAGAAAGTTGTATTCACTGGCTATGCACATCC